ATCTTGTTGTGAGCACCACAAAATACTTCACCTTCTCATGGGGAAGGCTGCATTATTTTGGATTTCCTCATGCCCGTGTGCAAGGATAATACAAATGAGGATTTCCTCCCCAGTTTAGATTATGTTATGCACATGTCCTTGAAGGTAGTGAATATTCACATTTTAACTAATATATAGAGTTCACATTATTCTATCATCTGTCTGGGATTTGTTGTCACAGGTTTTTGATTCCTGTACTGTACAATTGTGATCATTATCCATTGCTAGCTGATCAGATTTCAAGAATGTGATTATAAAATATTGCCTCCAGGAGAGCAGGGAGGAAATCTTAAAATGATACTTGCATTTTTCTAATATACTGCATCCTCATCAGAAAGATAAATCATTATTATGGGCTGCTATTAAAATGAACGAAAAAATGCATTGAAGTTTGATCATCCTTGTCCCTTCTCTGTAAACATTTCCTTATCAGACAATGTCACATCTTTGTCTTGGTGAGAATCTGAATAGCAGACATGTAGATATTTGCTCTAAGTATGAAACCAGAAGCTGAAAGACATGCACTCTGGATTTCCTCCACTGCCTATTAAATTAAATGGAATTTAAGTAAAGGAATGCATTCTGGCCCTCAATGAATTATGAGGAAACAGGAGGATATGAGCAGCATTTCTAGTTCCCGAAAAGATTCAAGTTGATCTCTTTGATGCACTTTTAGATTTTTGAAGTGAAACAGCTGCCTTGAATGGGGGGGGGGGCAGGAAGGGTGGCAATGATTTATTTGTTTATTACATTTTTATACTGCACCAATTTGTAGCATGCCACTATTCTGTGCAGTTTCCAACAAAAGGATGAACATGAACAACCATCCCCCCAACCCACATCACAATAATATTTAAAAAAGCAACTCACAGAGAGCACTAGATGTGACCACAGAGAAACAATAAACATAAAAATAAGCAAATCCTAAAAATAAAAGTAATAAATAAAACAACAATTACAAAGGAAGAATGTCTTGAAATACTTTTATGTGCTTTCTAAATGTCAGGAGCGTAGGGACCTAGTGCACTTCCACAGGTAGGGCATTTCCACAGCGAGATGGCCACCACTGAGAAGGCCTTGTTCCTGGTCAAAGACTTCCTGGCCTCCCTCAGGCTGGCCAACCACAGCACCAAAGCCAGGGAAATACAAGTGGTACGGGTGGCAGATCTTAGGGAGAGGCACTTTGACACTCTTGAGGTCCCAAAACTTCAAGTTTTTATATGTCAGCATTACCTTGAATTTGGCACAGAGGCATACAGGTAGCCAGTGCAGCCAAACCAGGACCGGGGATATATAATCATATCTAGAGGTCCCCAAGACCACCCTGGAAACATTTTATGCCACCTACAACTTCTGTGCCACCTTCAAGGGCCGTCCCAGATAGAGACCATTGCAATAGTCAGTCTTCAAGATTACCAACTTGTTAACCTGTGTTAGTAGGAACTTCCTGGCCAAGTAGGGTCACAGGTGTCATGATGATGGAGGAACTGTTGGAAAATTATGACCAGCTGGTTTTATGTAAAATAGGAAAAATATTTATTGGCATTGAGGCTTGTAAATATCCATGTAGATTACTTGATTATCATCTCATAACTTACAAGCAGAAGCATGAACTGCATCTGGTGAAAAGCTTGAGATGATATAAGATGGTCTGATCCCTTTGGCTATTATTTTTACTTATTGCATAAATTTCCATGCTGCTTTTCAGGTCACAAGCAGATTTCAACGAACATTAAAATACCAAATAAAAACATCTAAGCATAAACAACAATATTTAATACATAAGTGATTAAAATGACAAGACAGAAGAGGCAGTAGGTAAAAATCACAGTTAAAAGCACACTAGCCTTATGTTAATGTAGTGACAAAATATACTAAAGTATACTTTAAAAAAATATTGTAATGGCATATTTCTTGCATTGTTTGAAGTGTACTTGAAAGCTTACAGTATGCTATAATAAGTGTTTTAATCTTTGATTCTCTTGCTTTTACTACAAGATACTAATACACTGCCTCTCTGGATGAAATATAACCAACAAAAATTTTAAATAAGTATTTAAAAGTCTCACAAAGTCCAGCAAAGAGGGAGCTATATGTCCAGCCTGGGAGAGGGTGTTCCAAAGATCTAAGGCAACACAAAAAAGCTTCTGTCCTTTGTACTTGCTACAATCACAGGTCTCACTCTTGGACAGCAGAACATATCCTGTTTTTAAAGTCTGGGGTGGCTTAAATGGGTGAAGGCAGTACATCAGAAAAATTTTAAGTGACAAGTTGTGATGGATGACTCATTCACACGTCTGGATCATTATTTGATGTTACATATATTTACTGATTAACATGTCTGTGTGAACTTGCCTTCTCAATAGTGGAAGTTTGGAGTGTAGAAGTTTCCTTCCAAATGGTATAATATTTCAGGTTGTGGATTAGCCCCCTCCCTCTTTACCTTAAAAAACACTGTGAGAAAGATGGCCTAGAAATGAAACTATTGGAGTCACAAAATGAGAAGGCTGATGGGCTTTGCGATGATCAGCAGATAATTAGGATAGCAAATGGTCTCTTAGAGATAGAGGTTATAGAAGCAAGCCACACATACAGGGATGTCTGCCAGCAGTGCTCCTGGTGGGCGACTAGTAGAAGAGGCAGAATAA